CTTCCCATCTTGGGATAGAAACTATTTTAGTGGGCTTTGTTTTCCAAGCACCTAAATCAGTGTTTGGTACATAGTGGACACTCCATAAATATTTTCTGAATGAATAAACATAAACTATGACTAGTTGAAATGAAACAGATTTAAAGAGTATATTTTAATGCTAATTTGGTAGAATTTAAAATCTTAAGACATGATGGAAATAATCTCTAGGACTGAGAAATGACACTTCAATATCTGTGCATATTCTGAAAAGTTAGCCTATGTCTACTGAAGGAGTGACAATATGAGGAAAATAAAAAGGCTGGGAAGAGAAGTAACTTAGAATTTATAGTCAGCAACTTAGAATTTGGAGAAAGATAAGGTAATATTACTATGCAGGTGGCAAAATTGTATTTGAGGAAAATTTGAAGCTGAATACGATTTTGAAATCTGAGCAATGAAGTGGGTATAAGAATTCAAATCCTTTTAGATAAACACAAATATAACTTAATTAAAATATTTTATAATTTATTTATATTGTTTTATTTTTAGTAATTGGTATTTGTCTCCCAAATGCAGACTTTTAAAATTAAAAATGTTTTTTCAACTACAGTTGACATTCAATATTATATTAATTCCAGGTGTATAGCATAATGGTTAGACTTTTATATAATTTATGAGTAATTCCCCCAATAAGTCTACTACCCTACCTACCTGAAAACATACATAGTTATTGCAATATTATTGATTATATTCCCAATGCTGCACTTTACATTATCATGACTATTTTGTAACTGCCAGTTTGTACTGCTTGATCCCTTCACCTTTTTCACCAAACCCCACACCCTCCTTCCATCTGGGGACCATCAGTGAGTTCTCTGTATCTATGAATCTCCTTCTGTTTTGCTTGTTCATTTATTTTGTCTTTTTTAGATTCCACATGTAAGTGAAATCATATGATATTTGTCTTTCTCTGTCTGACTTATTTCACTGAGTATAATACTCTCTAAGTCCATCCATGTAGTTGCAAGTGGTAAGATTTCATTCTTTCAAGTAATAGTTCATTGTATATATGCACCATTTCTTCTTTATCCATTCATGTATTGACAGACACTTAGTGCTTCCATATCTTGGCTATTGTAAATATTGCTGCAATGAATTAGTGTTTTCAATTTCTTCAGATAAATACTCAGAAGTGGATTTTCTGAGTTAGAGGTAGTTCTGTTTTTAGTTATTTGAGGAACCTCTATACTGATTTCCATAGTGGCTGCACCAATTTGCAATCCCATCAACAATGCACAAGGGTTCCCTTTTTTCCACATCCTTTTCCCCGCAACACTTGTTTGTTGACTTATTGGTAATAACCATTCTGACAAGTGTTAGGTGATACCACATAGATATTTTAATTTTAATTTCTATAAATATTAGTGATGTTGAGGATCTTTTTATATGTCTATTGACACTCTGTGTGTCCTCTTTAGAGAAGTATCTATTCAGGTACTCTGCTCATTTTTTAATTGAATTGTTTGGAGGTGGTTAGTTGTTTTTGTGGGTTTGTTTGTTTTTTTGGAGGGGGGGAGGTGGAGGTATTAAAGTGTATAAGTTCTTTAAATACTCTTTATCAGTTGTATCATTGGAAAATATCTTTTTTCATTTGGAAAGCTGTCTTCTCTCATTTGGAAGGCTGTCTTTTGTTTTGTTTCCATGCAAACACTTTTTAGTTTGTTGTAGTCCTATTTCCTTATTTTTCCTTTTGTTTCCCTTGCACAAGGAGATATATCCAAAAGAATATTACTAAGAGCAATGTCAACAAACTTTTATTTTGTAAGAGAAAGAGGAACAGATAAAGTCTGAATAATAACACAAACTTTCCCCAAACCAACAGGTTTCACTCTGCCTTTTTTGACACTTTTCCTCCTGAAAAACTTTTCCTTTATCTCCCACTCTGGTATAACCTATGTGCTTCATATCTAATCTTCCTCTCTTAAAGATATGTCATCACAATACCAACCAGCCCAGTTCCTAACCCTCATGTCTTAGGCCAGGATGAATGCAATAGCATTCCAACTTTCTAGACTCAAGGGTTCCAATCCCCTCCACTGGTCTGTTATGCACAAGCCTTCCGGGCAACTCCCTTGCAGATATCTTTTCTGTAAATCGTGCCCTTGCTTATCAGCTGCCAGTAATGCTTCCCATGGGACTAACCTCATCTCTCCAAACTGCAGGGCTCTTTGTTGTCTGGTGTCTCTCAGAACACTTGGAGTGTTGGGTTGGCCTGAGCACCCTTGTCTTCATTCTGTCCCATTCCTGGCTTTGAGCTTTTTCTTTGATTTGCTTTTCTTATTCTTTATCCTCACCTAAGGATATATTTTTAAATTGATTTTTTTAAGAGAGAGAGAGAGTGAGAGAGAGAGAGAAGCATTGATGTGAGAGAGAAACATCAATCGGTTGCCTCCCATCCTCACCCCAAACCTGCAATATCTTGGTGTACAGGACAAGACTCCAACCAACTGAGCCACCCAATCAGGACTGAGCTTTCTTTTTTCTGATCCCCTAGGGCCTAGGCTGAGATACCATTATCAATGATTAATCTTCTACAATAATACTTCAACCTTCACTGATCACCCTCTTTTCTGAACTGCCCCAAACTCTCATCTGTATTATACATTTTTTTTCAGTTAATGCACAATGACTGACATTGTATATTACCTGCTTCACTTTGTTCCATCTTGTTGTTTTTAATAAGATGATAATCATCTTGAGGGAAGAAATCTGTAGTTAGACTCATTCCCCCACCCTGACTCTACACTAGGGGTGTCGAACTCAATCAGAGAAGGGGCCAAAATCTAAAATCCAGCCTAAATCGCAGGCCGAATGGTTTACTGAACAGTCATAAACTGTCATTGTGATGGAAACGCAGTGGAGTGCAGTGATGACAGCGCGGTGCGGGCCACATTGCAAGGCCTGGTGGGACGGATTTGGCCCGCGGGCCTTGTGTTTGACACATGTGCTCTACACTAAATGTAAAATAGGACTAGATAAATTCCAATGTTGCTTTCAAGGCACAGTTTCTCCCACATATTAATATCTCTAAAATTGGGATGCATTTTATAATTAACTAGAGGCTCTGTGCATGAATTCGTGCACAGGTGGGGGTCCCTGTGAGTGGCCTGCAGAGATTGGGCTGAAAATCACTGTCCAACACCACCTGCTGCTCCTACCTGCCACTCCCACTCATCTCAGCCCCACTGTGCCTGCTGCGGGCTCACACCCAATCAGTCCTGATAGGAAGAGGCTCATGCAGCTGCAGCAATGCTCACCAGCCATGAGCCCTGCATCTGGCGCCCTCCCAAGAAGAGTGGCCTGTGGGATCAGGCTGAAACCAGCTCTCCAACATCCCCCAAAGGGTCCCAGATTGCAAGAGGGCGCAGGCCAGGCTGAGGGACCCCACTGATGCATGATTGGGCAGGGGAGGGACAGCAGGAGGGCTCCCAGGACATGTCCGACCCATCTCACTCAGTCCCTATCAGCCAGACCCCAGCAGCAAGCTAACCTACCAGTTGGAGCATCTGCTCCTTGGTGGTCAGTACATATCATAACAACTTGTCAACCAGGTGACTGTCTACCCCCTGGTGGTCAATGCACATCATAGGGAGCAGTTGAGCAGCTTTTAGCATATCATTAGCATATTATACTCTGGTTGTTTGGTTATTCTGCTATTCAGTCTATTTGCATAGTACCCTTTTATTATATAGGAATATTATGCTTTGATTAGTTGTGCAGTTGTTTTTCCATTTGGTCTATTTGCATATTACCCTATTTTTATATAGGACTAGCGGCCCGGTGTACAAAATTCATGCATGGGGAGGCGGCGGGATGTCCCTCAGCCCATCCTGCACCCTCTCCAATCTGGGACCCATTGGGGGATGTTTGACTGCCAGTTTAGGTCCAATCCCTAAACTGGCAGTCAGACATCTCTCTCATAATCCAGAATGGCTGGCTCCTAACCACTCACCTCCCTGCCTGCCTGATTGCCCCTAACAGCCTCTACCTGCTGACCTGATCACTCCTAACCACTCCCCTGCTTACTTACTCGCTGCCTAAGCACTCCCTTGCCAGCCTGATCACCCCCTAACCACTTCTGCCTCGACCCCCGCCACTGTGGCTTTGTCTGGAAGGAAGTCGGACATCTGGATGATGTTCAGTCAACCTGGTCTAATTAGCATATTACCCTTTTATTAGTATAGTTGTGTCTTACAAATGTTGTCAGCTGGGCAGAAGTTACACTGTGGTTTTCATTTCCTGCACATGAGTGCACTTGGCCATAACTGTATATATTGTTATTCAATTTGTGAAGTGCACTCTTTGTACTATAAATATTGAGAATAATTGCCATTTAAAAACATCTTCAAAATTATACACTATGATTTGATATTAAAATGAAAAGTTATTATATATGCAGAAATGTACCAAAACAGAGCTTCAGGGTATAAAATTGATATTAAGGAAGCAAATATTCATTGTTTGAGGAATGATTGCAATTTTGTATTCTTTGCAAAGCAACAACCCACTTCCTATGGGACATGAAAAATGATGATACTTACAAGAAAAGGAAACTATTGTTACATTTTGTTGCTGAGTACAAGTGAAAGAATTGCTTTTTATATGTCAAACAATGCAACTCAGGGCTAGAGAATTTGCCAGATCCCTCAGAATGAATAAAATAATTTTCAAAGCAATGATAGACTGGTGGCATTGATTCATATGTTGTGCAGAACGATTCTGAGGTACTTTATCATAGTTTGATATAAAATAATGTGTTTCCTAACTAATAGCATCTTGGATTTGATAAAATACGATTGTGTGTGTATCTTGCTCACTTGAATAATGATACTGTGAATTTCTTTTATGCACAGTTTAATATTATTCATTTGTAGTTTAGTAAATATGATTCTCAGATTCTCTTTTTGGCTGTGTTTTCTGGTTGTGACTTCATCTAACTCTTTATGTCTTAATGAAAGGAACTCCGGTCTGAAGTGGAACTGGAAGTATTAGGAGACACAGAAGGACTCAACCTGTCGTTCACAGCTATCTGTAACAACAGGTCCATCTTCCCACAGCAGAAGAAATGCTCCCACATGAAGGTGGGAGACACGGTAGGTACACGGCTAATGGGGGGTCTGAAGAAAATATTCAGGCAAGTCAGAGGTTACCTTAAGGCACTGACGCTGCACTTCCCCTTTCAAGAATTTTCAAAGCCATTGCCAAAGATTTCCTAATACGTGCTTTCTGGCAAAGATGATCCCCATGTGGCTTTGTTTCCCCCCGTCCGTCCATTTTGGTGGGTAGAAGAAGATAATTAGTATTTTCTCTTTCAGGCTTCATTCAACGTATCTGTGAGTATACCAAACTGCGACAGAAAAAACAGGCACATTATCATAAAGCCCGTGGGGCTGGGGGACACCCTAGAAATACTCGTCACTCCAGAATGCACCTGTGACTGCCAGAAAGAAGTGGAAGTGAACAGCTCCAAGTGCCACAATGGGAACGGCTCCTTCCAGTGTGGTGTGTGCGCCTGCAACCCTGGCCACATGGGTCCTCACTGCGAGTGCGGAGAGGACGAGACAAGCACAGATTCCTGCAAGGAGGCCCCGGATCAGCCCTCGTGCAGCGGAAGAGGCGATTGCTACTGTGGGCAGTGCATCTGCCACTTGTCTCCCTATGGCAACATTTATGGGCCTTACTGCCAGTGTGACAATTTCTCCTGCGTGAGACACAAAGGGCTGCTGTGTGGAGGTAGGCTATGTCTAAACCCACCTTACTCTGCAGCTGAGCGAGTAGTAAGGAGGGGCTCTTCATTCTTTGAACCATCCACAGTTGCCTGGGCATAGTAGGTGCTCAAGAAATATTTGCTAATCAACTGAATGGGTTAATCTTCAGACCCAAGGTAACGTGTTTTGTTTTGTTTTGTTTTGTTTTTTCCTGGCTCTTACATACATGTGAAGTGAGACCTCTGCCAACACAATTTGAATGTCTATTATTATTTTCCTAAGAGTAAGCAGGTAAAAGATGGAAATGCCTTCTCTTTGGCTATTACACAGATTCTGCAAAACTGCATGTGATTTGAATTCCATTATCATCCAGACTTTTCTGGATCAGACAGCTGGGTATCTGACCCAACACTTAAATATTACTTTGAGAAAAATTAAAAGCCAGACTGCTGAAGGAGCATAATGCCAAGGACCAAGGACACACAAAAACTAAATGGGCTTTCAGGGCATTCATTCACTTGCACAAATATTTATTGACCACCTGTTAGGTGGTAGATACAAAATTAGGAGTGGGGCCTAATAAAGATGACTAAGCACATCTGTAAAGAAGGTTATGATAGGGTAAAAATGAGAATTACAGAATTTTTTTAAATTGAGAAAATTTTAAAATAGCAGAAATTTTTGTTTCATATCTTTTGGAGATGCAAAATCACTTTATTTTAAGAATATATTATACCATGCCGAAACTGGTTTGGCTCAATGGATGGAGCATCGGCTTGGGGACTGAAAGGTCCCGGGTTCAATTCTGGTCAAGGGCATGTGCTTTGGTTGCGGGCATATCCCCAGTGGAGGGTGTGCAAGAGGCAGCTGATTGATGACTCTCTCTCATCAATGTTTCTAGCTCTCTAGCTCTCTCCCTTCCTCTCTGTACAAAATCAATAAAATATATTTTTTTTAAAAAGAATATATTATACCATATATAACATGACTACTACATAATCATTCTGATGTAGATAAATATATTTAAGTATAATCTATTAAGCCCAGAATGGCAAATGTGTTTCTATACTTTAAAATGATATAAATCTGTGTTACCATTGAAATAGTAACTGCTGAATTTAAGCTCTCATGGCTCCCTTTTTCACATTGTCTGAGCAGGCAGCTTTTCAAAACAGAAAGCCATTCTCTTCAGAGGAAACTAAGCAAGTTATGTTTTCAAAAACCACAGGTTCGGAAACATATAAAAGACACTGATTTTCAGGGGGAAAAGCCCTTAGAAAAGAAGCCTCAAAGAAGCCCAAGTTCTTTGAAAACCATTTGATACCTTTAGAAGTGTCCCTATGTTTCCTTTCTTGGCTGTTGCTGCTACAGCAATAGATGCCTCTGAGGCTGCCTTCTTTCTTCCCCCAGAAAGTGAAAAATTTAGGGTCTGTCTAGAGTGGGACATATATCTCTTTCTTTTCATTGAAAGGCATATTTCCTTATTGAATGGGTGTGTTTCCCAACCCACACCAGTTGGTTTCTTTGCACAAGATGCACACAGGACACAGCCTAAAACCAAAGACCATCACCATGTCTTGGAAGGAGTATTTTCAGCAGAACCCCAGATTGCATTCCTACTAGACATCTTTTGATAAAATATGTGCTCAAAACATTTCAAATTACCTTTCAAAGATCATTACGTGTAAGCTAGTGCAATGTATTAGCAATCCTAACCCCATCTATATTTCACCTTAAATCTTAGATCGAAGAGATCTAGGACAGTAATAATTGCTGCACTGTGTTCAACAACACGGTTCTTCTAGCGTCTTGATGGGTTTTCATTTGGTTTTGTGTCACGCATGCAAACAAAAAGAAGATAAATTTTTTTTTTACTTGATCTCTGCATTATATAGTTCACAAGGTCTGACAACAACACCTCCCTCAGTATCAGATACAGTGCTTGCTAAAGAAATTCTATTTAGAAAATACAATTATTTCTTCAGTTGGACTCGCAGAACTTCACCAATGCCAATTGCTTTCATACTTTGGGGGTAATTTATGATACTCAACCATTACTGTTTCTCAAAAGCTATTTTGTTTTTTTAGTCACATCATAAAGAATGTTTGTTATTCTATTATTAGCAATTTCCCTTATAAAAAGGGATACTAAAATTAAGTACAATTATTCAATTTCAACAAATAGTTATGGAGTACCTACTGTGCGCCTGGCCCTGTGAGTGGACGGGACGCTCCGTTGTTTCTAACAGAACCCTGAACATGCTGTAGCCTCACTTGTGTAGACCTTTATTTTACAACTGATATACTCTGCAATGGGTGCTTCACAATGTTCTTTTTCAAGCCCCTTTTGTCATCCATCTGTAAGCCTTCACAGATACAGGACTCATGATTTTTTTTTCTCTTGCCCAAATTCCATTAGTCTTTTGTATTTGATTCTAGGAGACTGGAAACTCAAATGATATTATAGTAAAACACACACACACACACACACACACACACACACACAAAACTTCCTGCCATTATGCATTTCTAGTTATCAGCCAACAGCATTCCAGAAAGATCCATTCCTTCGATAAGAGCCTGATAACTTTTTCTTGATTTTTGGTTATCATCTTTCCTCTACATGAAGCCATTATAAAGTTTTTGCTGTGGTCATGGGGTGAACAGGTGTTTAAGATAATTAGTTGTAGTGAATATCAATTAGCAACTTTTGTGACGAGGTAATGGTTCTGGAAGGTCCCCAGAAAGGAGGATCTCTTAATTCTAAACAGAGCTCTTGAAAGGTTTTTGAAATCTCTGCCAGCTGATTCTTACACATGATGATGCACTTGGGCATTCCCAAAGCCTTTGGAGATGCACATTTCATTTGACAGTATTTATAAATCATATTAATGTTTCAGGATAAACTTAGCTATAGAATCCTTTCCCTATCATGAAAGTAAATTTCTTCTTTTGCTGAGGAAGAAACAAAAAACAATTGCAGTTTAGAGGGTAACTTACATATAAAAGTTAAACTAATGGTTTGGCCTAAATCACCTAACTATTCTTAGCTTTGAATTAATTAGTTCAATTATGAATTAAATGGGTTATGAAATGCAGTTGGAGTATGTCTTAAAGTCATAGATCCAGCTAAATTTCAACTCTTAATCTCTCACTAGAGAAGTATATGTTTTTAGTGTCTGTGTGTGTATATTGATATATATTTCAACTCTTATCTTTCATTAGAGACTTGTATGTCTTTTTCTGTGTATATATGTTTATGCATGGAACAGAATCCAATTTCCAAATTTTTGTGGCTGTCACCTTTGTTCTATGATTTCCTACTTCATATCTCTTAAGCTTTACACATGGGAGGCACCAAAAAATGCACAAGCCCATTATAATAAATACTTTATTTGTCACTTCATAGTATTTCATACAGTATTCAAAAGAAGCGGCCAGATTCAAAAGAAGCTTTTCAGGACTGGATGAGCTGCTTGCCTATAGTAAATCTTCAGCCTCCTTCTTCAAGCTGTCTCTGCCCTGGGCTTCTGCAACATCCTCTCATTCCCTTCTTACCTCTGAAAGCATTCTTTCCTCTGATTGCATTTTAAATTCTGATGCTCTCCAGGGAGTGTCTCACTCCATCTGCATCCCCTAGATGATCTACCTGATTCACAACTTCAACTGCCATCTAGCTCTAATGGATCCCAAGCTGCACACTTCAGGTCCATATGCATACATGCAGTTGACCCCTAAACAACACATGCTTAACTGCGTGGGTCCATAAATACTATAAATACATTTTCTCTTCTTTATGATTTTCTTGATAACATTTTATTTTCTCTTTATTGTATGAATGCACTGTATCATACATATATCATGCACTACAATTGTTGATCTACTGTTATGCTATCAGCAAGGTTTCTTTCTAGTCAACAGTAGGTTATTAGTTGTTAATGTGTGTGGGGAGGGGGAGGGGGGGCGCATCAGCACCATCTCTAGCCCTCGTATTCAGCTGCCTACTAGGATGTCACACAAGTCACTCATACTCAACAGAACAAAACATGAACACATTTTCTCCCCACTCAAAATTTCTCCTCCTTTGCTTCCAAGCTAACTGTTCATTCGATAATGAAGGAATACTCTACGCCAGGCCCTGAGGATGAAACAGAGCATGAGCTAGTTTCCATTCCAGATCAGTGGAAAGCCCCACCATCCAGCTAGCAGCCCAGTCTGGTCACCTGGGGAGGATTCTACCCCTCTATCTCTTCCGCTCCTCTTCCACCCAGCTCCCGCATCCATACCCTGTGGCAGACCCTTTCCTCTCCATTCCCAAAGATGCAGGGTCTGAGAGTTCCCAAACTGATTTTCCTGTCTCTAGTTTGGCCCTCTCTACTGATGCCAGGACATTTCTATTCACATATCTATCCGTTCAGGCCTCTCCCCTACTTAAAATTTCATAACTTTGGGGGCAAAAGTTCTTACTTTAACCATAAAGCTTTTCATGATGTGACTTCTTACCTTTTGCAGACCTTTCCCCCCCTCCCCTCCTGCCACACCTTTGGCTCTGTCTATATGAAACTACCATGAGTATTAAGCAGGTCACACAATTACACGCTTCTGGAGTTAACCTGTTTTCTCTGCTTAAAATGCATGTCCTTGTCTTCTATCTTCCTCTTACCTTTATCTTTCAAAGTCAGCTCAAACATCATTTCCTCTAAAAACTTCCCAGATCTCTAGTCTAATTTGGAAACTCTTCCCCATGAGTATAATAATGATCATATTGTATTGTATTTATTAGTAGTAGTATTGATTTGCCTGTCTCCTAACACTAGACTATAAGCTCAGCGGCCTTGTCTTATTTAATTTTGTATCATCTTGCCTTATACAATATTTTGCACACAATATATGTTCAATTAAAGTTCGTTAAATAAATGAATTTGTTGAGGACTCACCATATGTCTGCAGGACATCTAATGAGTGAATGCAGAGCCAGGAGACTGACACCTTGTCTCTCTGAGCACAACCATTGGAAGTAGATCTCATTCTTTCTATTTTACAGATGAGGTTTTCATGGTCATCGAGATGGAGTGTTGTAAAGATGGGGTATTATCCAGGTCTGTCTTGTATCTTTATGCTATGGCATCCACATTTATAGCAAAACATTGTAAAAGCAATTATCTCCTTTCACCTGGCTATGAATTCTCTTTGATATTACATCAGGTAAGCAAGCTGGTCTTCAGTGAAGAGACCAGATCAATAAATAAATACAGTTAGCAAAATATACATCATAAAATATATATCTACACTCACTCCCTTCCCCTCCCCCTCCCCACACACACACTCACTTTTTTCTCATTTTCCCCCCCTCATTATTTTGACAGTGTTTAAAAGTAAACAGAAAAGATGGTGCCCCAAATCAGAAAGTGGTTTTGACCCTAAGAAACAGCTTTTTGTTTTTCAGATAACGGCGACTGTGACTGTGGCGAGTGTGTGTGCAGGAGCGGCTGGACCGGCGAGTACTGTAACTGCACGACCAGCACGGACCCGTGCGTCTCTGAGGACGGGGTGCTCTGCAGCGGGCGAGGCGACTGCGTCTGTGGCAAGTGTGTTTGCACGCACCCCGGAGCCTCAGGACCGGCCTGTGAACGCTGTCCCACCTGCGGCGATCCCTGCAACTCTAAACGGTAATGTCTGCTTTCTTCAGTCCCCTTATAAAAAGTCATAGTGACATTTTATAAACTCAGACCTCAGGTTGTTTTGATGGATTTGGTCTCCAGTCCTTCACTTGCCTCTTTCCCAGGCCTGATTACCCAGGACCACACCGTTGCATTTCTGCTGGAAACCAGCAGGGGAAGCTGAGCTGATGTCCCACACTGATAATATCACATCACCTCTCAGTTACAAAGCCAGCCACACAGAAGGAATGCCCTGGGGGTAGACTGACGACACCCACATTCAGTATTTTTTTCAGGGAAACAGATAGGTAAACTTCTTTCTTATCTAGAAGTTCATAACCTGACCTTACTGATTCATTTCTATCTATAGACCCATGAAAGCAAAGTGGCAGAAACACAAACTTGGCTTTCAATTTTTTCCCTTCTTTACCACTCATGCTCTTTGGCTCCTTGTTTTGGTTGTCATTCTGCAAGACTATTGGGTATTGTGTTATCTTTTATACCACATGAACAACAACAACAAACAAAACACATTTTCTTATTTTCCAATGAAGAAACTATTTCTTTGGTTGACAGCTAGCTTTTTATTTTATTTTATTTTATTTTATTTTATTTTATTTTATTTTATTTTATTTTATTTTATTTTATTCTGTGTTTTTTGGGGGGAGAGAGGGAGTGAGAGAGTGTAAGAGTGAAACATTGATGGCTGCCTCTTGCACACCCATTACCAGGGATCAAGCCTGAAACTTGGGCATGTGCCCTGACTGGAAATTAACTGGCAACCTTACAGTACACAAGCTCATGCCCAACCAACTGAGGGCTGACAGCTAACTTCTTAATGGAAGTGGGACAATATTTGTAGGTTAAGTGAAACAAGTCTCCAAATTGGCTTTTATGACATGGCAGTGCATGCTGTATTTTGCAGCAAACATGCTTAAACAGCTCATATTTTCATTAACTTTGGTACCCCAAATTATGGCATTTGCATTTCTAATGTAAGTGAAATTTAAAAAAAAAATCAACATTCACTTAGTGGTATTCACCATTCAGGTGTTAAAACTTCTCTGTCATTGTACCTGGATATAAGCCAAGAGAAGGATGAGGACATAGGCTTATTTGAATAGGATTTAAGGTAAAATGTCCTTTTAAGATGTTTCTCCTATTATTTTTCTATTTTGTCATCTCTATAAACATGATTCAACCCTGAATCTGATTTATAAGATAAGAAATTAATAGTCAAGTAGGTTAACTTTGAGGAATCAGAGTGATCTTTGTGGTATTTACGCTAGTTTTAAGATAAGTCCATTCTTCCATTTATTCACTCATGCATTTATTTATTAAGTAGGTATTGAGTACCTTCTCCATGCCAGAAATCATGCCTGAATCAAATGGGCTGCATTCATATGGGCACGCAGCGATGACAGAACCTGTTATAGTTGCTACCATTACAGGTGCTGAGAATCTAGTGGGAAAGACAGATATTTTTAAAAGTAATGATGATGTGTGTACTAGAAATATCATATCTGTAAAAGTATATGATTGTCTAACCACTATTCTATATATCTAAAACAAACAGAAAATAATATTGCCGGTCAACTGCAATTGAAAAATACAATTTAAAAAGAACAAAAATAGTTATGATGATATCTGGGCTGACAGTTAAACAGGAGATATATAGGGTGCTATATGGCTGGAACTGTAAGTATGACAGGGGATAGGGCCCCCAGACTAGCTTGGGCAGCCGTCAGTGAGATGCCCAAAGGGGTAGAGGTTCTAAGGGCTTCCACAATGTCCAGCAGCCCCCTGCAAAGCCATTCCAAATAAATATATAACATGGATAAGTGCAAAATGCATGCAATGCAAGGAAACTTTCAGACAAGGCTTCTATCCCCACTCCCACATAGATTGCTGCTCTCAAGCCCTTCCTTCAGAGGAACTCGGAGGCTTCTACTGCAAGGGCACTAACTGGGAAGGGTCATGGAAGACTAGTCTGAGGAAGGAGGTTCCAGCTGAGATGTGACAAGGCATGGGTGGGGTTGGGGAATGTTTCCAGCACTTACTAGTAGCTGAATATACATGTCCATGGCCAGAGGAAGAGAGAGGCACCATGACGTGCCCACAGTAAGACAACATTTGCTGTTTTGGGTTGCTCCAAACACAATCTGTTTGAAGTGATTTTCAGCACAAGATAAATTCAGGGTCAAAGTATTACTTTGCTATAGAGACATCATTACAATGGCTTCATTCCTGGGCTATGCTTTGGGAAAAACACTTTTCTGTAAGTAGCAATCTTTTATTAAAAAGCTTGTATTAATGTGGACCCAGTCTACTAATACAATCCTTATCTTTTGAAAATACCCCTGTCAGGGCTTGGATGCATTCAAAAGAGTTACAGAAAAGTGAACCTTTAAAGTAGTCACTCATAACCTAGATGAATTCTTGGTAAGATATGGGCCATTTCTGTTAAGAAATTCAGACTTTGTCTTCTCTGTAATTATATTGTAGCAGCCTAAGCCCTTCCCAAGAAAAATATAAAATGAAAACATAGCGAAATCAAATACCAAAATAATTGGGGGGATTTTTTGTTGACTTTTATTTCTCTCACTTAAACAATCATTAGCGATAATGAGGATAGTAGCTATTATCAGGGCTGGCTCAGGGAACATTGATTACTGAGTGGAATTCAGAATAAAGCAGTTTCCTCTTGGACATCACCCAACTAACTTCTGAAAGTAACAAAAGGCACCGTCCTCTCTGAGACACGCCTTTAGCAGGTACCACAGTAACAGCAGGAAGCACTCTCCCAGCTGCCAACATGAACTGATAAACTGTTGACTAATGTTCCCAGGAGCTGCATTGAATGCCACCTGTCTGCAGATGACCAGGCCCGAGAAGAATGTGTTGACAAATGCAAACTAGCTGGTGTGACCATCAATGAAGAAGAAGGTTGTGCTTGTCTTAAATTGCTTTCCTTTTCTTTGCCTAGTTCTTGAGGGGCACCGTCTCTCTGGCGGGCTTTCCAATAGCTGGACTTCATTTGTACCAGGACATTCATTGCCTCATATTAGCTATGAAGGGGAAATGTATTGTATTCCATAAGGCTAAACACCTAGTGGTTGGTGATACAAGACATTAAAGTCACGGCTATTCTATTTGACATCAGCTCTGTGGGTAGGTTCACCTCTCCTTAACAGATACAACTGCAGAGAATTTCAGAATGCTAAATTGTTTGAATGCGAAGGAAGAAAATTGAAGCAATACCTAAATGTTAACCCCAAGCCTGAAATTGCTCCCTATTGTCCAATTGCTGTATTTCAAATTGGACAGAGCAAGGTAAACTATGGACCTCCTGATAGAGCCCTCAGACCCAGGGCAGTTTCTGGTTAGTGGGCCAGTTTTCTTCCTCTCCCCTCAGTATGTTTTTACTCCCAACTTTCCAAACATGGGCTCTACATGAGCATCCTCAATTCTCAAAATATGAGAAGGGCCTGTTACCTTTAACTGCTTAGCAAGTCCTGTTCTTGTTTTCACCTGTCATTTTTAGACGTAATTACTTACAATTGTATATTTTCCTCATGGCAAATTGGCATCTCAAATATTCAAATGGGTTGTATTTTAGCTGGGAGAATAATTTGTGGACATTAACACAAAGAAGATGACTGACGCCTCTCAAAGGGACAATCTGGGGGGATTGGTGTTTCCCCACCACACACTCTGCATTGTCATGCTGCTCAGCTAGAACGGCTGCTCTGCACGCTGTACAGATGCCACCAGGATGTATCTCAGGCAAAGCAACGTAATCAAGACAATAATTCATGACACACTTGAATAGATGGAATCAGAATACCCAAATCAATCCATATCCAAGGAGGAATAAGTTAGTGGCATTTACTTTTTTTTTTTTTTTTTTTAATTACCTACATTGTTTCAAACTTGAGATCTCTGGCTGTGCACCATTGAATAACCCTAGATAGAGGGGCCTGATTGGTGCTCATAAAACCCCTCGTCTGAGTTTTTTTTTTTTTTTTTCTGGTAAATAAGAAAAAATATATATGCCAAACAACCATAAACTGGACAAAATGGTGTATTCCTTACACTGATACTGGAGGTAAGATGCCGTGAGAACACTGAGGAGACTGGCATTTGTGGCCTGCCCAGATTAGTAACTAGTACAAATCTCAGCATATCCTTCTGGCTTCATTTCACACCAACCATCTGGGATATTTACCAGACATTTCCAGGAAATGACTAAAAATTGCAGAAAATGCCCTGCAAATGGCTAGAACCCTGTGCAGTAGCAGCCGGAGAAATCTAATGTGCTGAGGGGAAAAGGAGAGTGAGCCTTGGAAAACACGGAAATCGTGAACAGGGGCGTTACCATCTTTAAATACAAGGTTTTCTAAGTCCATTATCCTAAGTGCTTAGATTTGAGAGGAAGACTAAATCTCAAGTGGCATTTAAAATATTTGCATTATTATTTTTTGTGTACTTGTCTACATTATCTTCAAAAGAGGGGAATGCAACTATTGAAATATTTCCAACTCAGAAGTTAAAAACAATAATTGCATTTTAATACCATTTAAAAGCACTAATCTCAATGAATTTAAGAAAAATATGTATTTGTTAGTGAATTCAAAAGTAATTTTTCTAATGAGCCTGTTATAAGTCCTATTTCAAGTTACCCACCCAGTTATATTATTGATCATGTCACCTTGAAATTATCAAAACATATTTGTCCTTCCACTGGGTCTTTATCAGCCCTTCCTTCACCAACTAGGACATGAAGGGAAACCTAAGTATAACTTTATAATCCAAATAAATTGTTCCCCACCTGTGCTATGTGATTTGTGTGAGCATTGCCAAGGACATGCAGTTTAATTTTACTCGATCCATTTTGCAGAAAGTGACATTGTTCATTTACCCCAACATTCATGTACTCGGAGCTTTGTTGCTCAAACGTGTTCCATGGGACACTAATTCCAAACGTGGTCATATGAATTTTGGAAATGGGAAGCTACACCTTTTGCTTCCTTAAAGAACCCTTGAGAGTTCCTATGCACATGATGTTAAATGTACGTTACAAATTTTCAGGAGAGGCAAAGAAAGGCTGCTGTACTTAAATACACCGTATTCTAAGTGTCACACTTACTGACCATAGAAGTCTTTTTCCTGCTTGGGAAACTGTTTTCTCTGAGAACTACTGACTTGGCCCCAGAGCAGAGGTCTTAAACAGTTATCTTGATTCAGTGGTGCCAGCGGTTTATGCTTTCCACATTTTTCCTAGACCTCCCTAGACCCCAGCCTCCTCACCCCAGTCTCACATTTCTTTCTTTTCTAAGTATGATTTAATGGACTGCCTGAGATCTTATTTTCCTTGTATTATTCTAGCACAGCACTGCTGACACTCATAAAGGTGCGGGGGGGGGGGGGGGGGGGAGGCAGGAAGAAAGGTCCATTTCTTATGAGCAACAAAAGAAAACCTTAGCAGCTAATTATGCAAATCTCCAGCCCAAGCTGGACCCTTACATTGCACATTCAATAATGCCATTTTAATACCCAAACACTGTGAAGCGGGCCAAGTCTAAAGTCATAACCGTCATGAAAAGGAGTGGTGAAGTAATTAAAGCAAGAAGGGAGTCATGACTCAAAGGTCATATTAGCAGTTCCATTAAAACTTAAATAATCCTGGCCAAGTAAATTAAGCCTCCCTGTGCTTCGACATGGCTATTTAAAAGAAAATAAAAAAGCAGGATTAATATTACTGAAAGGAGTATTATAAGCTATCCACATATTTTCTACCTGAGAATAAAATGTTCCATTGAGTAAGCTTGAGAGGAACAGAGTGGGTGTGCGCTGTGGTGGTGGAGAGAGGGAGGGAAGGAGGAAAACAGTGTGACAGGAAATGGCATACTCCCCAAGGCTGGATGAATCTTAGTTCACCGAGTGGTGTGGCAGAAGGATGTGTGTGGAAGGCCATCTAGAAATAATCGAAGTATGAATTATAAATAGGCAGTTTTGTTGGTATCAAACATATGAAATAACACAAATTTCATTAACCAAGTGTTGCCAGGAGGTTCCCAAATCTCTTAATTAGAATCACCTTATTAAAAATACTATTAAACAGCTCACTCAGATACAAACGCCTGTGTATACCCATGACCTCCCAAATCAGAATGCCCAGGGACAGGCCTCTGAAATCCATTTTTCCAGAATTCCCATGTGATTTAGATAATCAGAAACATTTAGGAATGATCACATGAGAATGATTTGTAATTAGATTTTTTAATATTCCTGTGTGCATAGATGCTTCTAATGGATTCAAAAACACATAAACCTATTATCTGAAATCTTAGTAATATTACTAAGTTTTACTAGTCCCTGTTTTCATAGATAATATAGGCATACCTCTCACAGACCCTAACGTGAGATTTTTATCTTAAAGATTGAATGCAAAATAGCTTATATATTTGTGCCTTTCTATGAGTAGGCAATGCTGAACAATAGCAACAACAAAAATCCTATTAAGTTCTCTTTGTTAGAGTCAGAGCAACACATATAGATTCTGTTTCATTAAAACCCTGTTTTATATTTAAGCACTGAGGAAGTTTGTAAGTCTAGCAAGAGTATGTCCAAGATTATCTGGGACAATGCCATTTTAATATTCTGACCCACTAAGTCTTAGTACACTAAGCCTGGATATCTCTTAAAATTTTAGGTTAATATCAAACAATCTCTCTATTTACAGGTTTCCATAAAAGTGTTTGTAACTATAACATTAAAAAGTCTCCAACTTGTAAGACAGGAGAACTTGAAGCAAGTTGTTTTTTAATTGGGAAAATGCTACATAATTTTGGCATAGATGCAGGCCACTAGAACCTCTGATAAGTAGTATTAACATCTCAGATTGACCGTTTTACTGTATTTTCAATTTCTGATATGACATTCATTTTCTGCTTCTTGAATAAGCTCAGCAAGAAAATAATTTCTATTTGGAAAAGATTTAAGGAAAATTTGATTTTTTATTTTTTTTTTAAATTAAGGAAAGGGCCGAAACCGGTTTGGCTCAGTGGTAGAGTGTCGGTCTGTGGACTGAAAGGTCCCAGGTTTGATTCCGGTCAAAGGCATGTGCCTTGGTTGAGGGCACATCCCTGGAAGGGGGTGTGCAAGAAGCAGCTGGTCGATGTTTCTCTCTCATCGACGTTTCTAGCTCTCTATCTCTCTCCCTTCCTCTCTGTAAGAAAAAAATCAAATATATATATAGAAAGGAAAGGGCTATGCTGAAGGGTCAATCAAACTGTTATCCTGGGTTCTTTTTTATCTGAGCTTTACCTTTATCTTGTTGGTCCCTGAGCTACATAACACTTCAATCTCTGTTTCCTGATATTAATATGTATTTATTGTTGGGACACGGCATGGCCAGCAATCTTGACTAGGGCATTGTGGGAAAGCTCTTCCCCTAACCCCTTAGAAGTATCAATATCAGTTTGGACTGTGTAGTCTCTTTCTGAAGTATAATCTAGGCTTCCTCCCAGATGCTTGCAGCCAAGAAGAACATATAGCCCCTCATTACCATAATCAGGGCCATTCTATTCCCACCCAAGACAGCCAGGCCTACCTGCCTTGAAATCCTTTTACTCTATTGAAATCCTGCCCCCATCAGTTTGATAGGTGCACTTGATGGTCAGTCCTGAGTGACCATACCTGGAACTGTTCTTCTGGAACGTGAGTAAAAACTAAAACCTCAGTCAGTGGGAAACATCTTATGTCCTTTCTATTCCTATCCTGCAATGTTGAAATTTCCCATTTGCATATTAAAACTCAATACTACTTTGCTTTCAAAATAATCTCTTTTGGAAAGCAATTTACCTAATGAATGATTCCTTTATCTGCAGATTACTCAAAGGATAGTTCTGTTTCCTGTTCTCTACAAGGAGAAAATGAATGTCTTATTACATTTCTAATAACTACAGACAGTGAAGGGAAAACCATCATTCACAGCATCAACGAGAAAGGTGAGTGGCGTGCATTTCATTGTCAATGGTAAGTGATACTACATGGGAGAGGGAAAAACAACCAGAAAGACACTTTGGGTAGCTTGCCAGGAAAGACATTTCCAAATTTTTGATGATATGCCTCTATTTTCCCAATGACTGGAAGATTTGATAGCTTCCAATATCTCTTAATAAGACTAGATGACAAGATGAGTGTATTTGCACCAATCATCCTCTCCCAGAAAGGCTGAATGCAGGAAGCGCACCTTTAGGAAAGACTAACGGGAAAGAGCATAGCAGCCTATGAGACTGAGTTTTGAATCAGGTGAACCTTGGTTCAAATCCTGCTCTGCCACTTACTAGCTGCTTCACACTTTGGAAGATACTTGCCTCTATTTCCCCATCTGTAAAATAGGAAAAATAATACTTTCTTTTAAGGAATTACTCAGAGATTAAATGGAATGATGCATATAAAACATGTACCAATTCATAACCTAGAGCCATGGGTCATTAGATGATAACGCCGAATCAAAAAGACACAAAGCGGGAAGTGAGGAAGTGTTCTGAGTCCGTTGCTTCTGTGGCTTTGCTTCCACACCAGCTTCTGGAGCCGCCTGGGGACTCAGGAAGCCCTCAGATAAAAATCACATCTTCAGTGAAGAGGAGACAGAAGTTTATATTAGAAGTTGATATAGAGAAGAGAGAATAGTGGGAGAGGAAGGCACTTTTGTTGAGAAGTTGTTAAACTTTAGAAGTTGTTAAGCTTTAGTTGTTAAGCATCAGACACACCTGAGTGTGGCCCAGGCAGCTCTGATACAGATGGTTTCAGGACCTCCTTTGAGCGACTCTGCCTTACAGCCTTGGCCACATTCTTGGATACTCACAGGTGTCCATCTTTTCAGTCTTCAGTTAAGAATGTGCCCCTCGCCTGGCAGGCATGGTTCAGTGGTTATTTCGGCCTATGAACCACAAGGTCACGGTTTGATTCTCAATCAGGGCACATGCCTGGATTTCAGGCTCCATCCCCGGTGTGGGGCATGCTGGAGGGAGCTGATCAATGATTCTCTCTCATCACTAATGTTTCTATTTCTCTCTCCCTCTCCCTCCGTCTCTGAAAGCCATATATATATTTGTGTGTGTGTGTGTGTAAATACCATATATATATATGTATATGTATATATATGTATGTATTTTAATAATGTGTCCCTAAACCTTTCCAGCAGAAATGATAGCTGCACTAAATCAGACCTTCCCAGCACTTGTCAGCAACTTCCTCCTCCCCCATAAAGCCTGGAGCCTGAGTTCTGCCCCAGACAACAGCAGTGAAGGCAGGCTAGAAGGCACATGTGTTTTGTTGTTTGTGCTTGCTCATCATGGTGCTGACAAAATATTAAGTCCTAAATTTGAAACCAAGAGTATCAAACTGCCATCACTTCAGAGTGTAAAAACCAAAGCAATACCAAGGTAACCAAAGAATAAGTTTAAAGCACTGAAACCAAGCAAGAGAATATGATTAGAACAATATCACATTGCAGGACTAAGGGTCAGGGAGAGGCAAGATGCAAGGCTATGATTGTGACCATGACCTTGGAGCTCAAGTGGGCAGAGTACAATTGGAGACATGTTCTTGAGAATCTCATGTAAATAGACTTCTTTGAAATGAATATGTAAAATGCATTATATAGGCCATTAGTTAAAGAAAGTTAAGGTGAATTCTATTGTATAAGGAAGGATTATTTTACAGTAATTTTGTCACTGTCTGTTTTATAAAGTGAAATTCTTCAACTAGACCTACAATTTGTGACTGTGGCAGTGGCTTTAGCATGTTTTTATTAAATCAAAATCATTCTTTATAATATTAATTCCATTGGGAAAATGAGTTCCAAGCAACAAAAACGAACTTCCAGTATAGGGTCTGTTTTTAATTCAGGGGCTTTTGTATATAGTTGGTTTAATTTTTATTTATTTTTATTTATTTGTGTGTGTGTGTGTGTGTCTGTGTGTGCACAAAACATCCCTTTAGCTGATAAATGCCTCCTTGTTACTGAACTGTTGGTGTTTTTTCTTTTATTGTCCCACACAATCTGAGTGGCACATCAACAGGCCATCTTTCCAAGAGCACTCAGATGCCCTGAGCCTGTACAGTTTTTTCTTCCCCCGTGCTTTTGTAGTCATTAGTCACCTGACAGCTCCAGGAAGGCTGCCTTCCCGGCAAATGTTGGCCTTCTAGCTAGATAGGCCAGATATCTTAGGGTCCTGAGGGCAGAGCCATCCCCAGGAGTCCATAGTTCCCTCTCCCTTTAAGACCAAAGACACTTCGGACAGCTAGTGGGAGGTCTGGATAGAAAAGAGGCAAATAGGAAAAGAGGAGAATGAGCTTAAGAATTCCAAACAAATTGAAAAAGAAACCAAGTGAAGGGTCATCATCAGGGGGGTGTGGATGTAGGGAGAGCTTTGCTCATCTTTTTTTTCTTACATCTGGAAAAACTTTCAAGAATAAGAGCCACATTCATGAAGGGCCAGGCAAGAATGATCATTGGGGAGTCTTCCTGACAGGGATGTGGATGTGACTTCCAACTGGGAGGTTCCAGGCCCTCGTGGTCTTGAGGATAAAAAAGGAGGAAGAGTGGATTTGTTGTAGTAATAATAGCAACTCTCAGCACTGAGCCCTTACTATATAGTACCATATGCCAGGTATTATTCTAGATGTTTTACATGTATTATTTCAGTTAATACCCCTAACAGCCATATAAAGCAGGTATTGTTATTATTTCCATTTTATAAGTAATGAAATTGAGGCATAGAGAATTTAAATTTTGCAGCAATTATGTACCAGCGCTGGTCCTGGAACTGGAAGTCCATGTTCTTAACTATTGTGCTATACTGCCTCCCACTGGCTGTCTAAACATAATAAATATTTGAATCCCCAAAATATGTTAAATCAGCACTGTCCAATATAAATGTTAATGCAAACTACATATATAATTTTAAATTTCCTAGTAACCACGTTAAAAAGTAAAAAAGGTTTAAATGAACTTTAATGTTTTATTTAATCCACTATATCCAAAATATTGTCATTTCGATGTGTCATCAATATAAAAATTAGAAATTGTTTACATTTTTTTCTTTTAAGTCTTTGAAATTAGTCACACAACCTAATTTGGAAAGTCACTTCTGTAGTGTTCAGTAGCCGTATGTGGTTGACCTACCAGACTGGCAGCATTAGAAACTCAGGTCCTTAGAATTAGGTGCCGTACTGACCTGGGTTTTCTATTGTGTAATACTTGCTTTGGTTCTTGGGCCAAGATCTTGTCTTGAGAAATGAATAATTCCCAATGATTCTAAATTCTTAAAATAATCATCTCTGCAAGGTCATGCTAATTCCTCCTCTATTATATTCCTTAGTGGCAAGTCCTCCTAATTCACCTTCTGGCTGCAGGGTCTTAGTAAGGTTCATCTTGCTTTAAGCAAGAATATGCTATGCCCTGCCCCAAACATTCTGTAGTCAAAGATGTAGCCAATATATATTCTCATTGCTAGGTACCTGCTGCTTTCTTTTCAGGAGTATTTCTAACCTGTTAAAAGCAGCCGTGGCTCATTTGCTATGCTAGAAACAGTCTTTAGATCCTCACACTTTACTTGCCATTTCATTAGCTCCTTTACTTATTTTTGCATAATCTCCTCACATGGTTTTTTGGCCAAAGAACAAAGATGTGTGAGGCCAGGCATCACACTGTCAGGGGGTCATTAGTCCTGCTCAAATTCAGACCAGCTATAAATTCTTACCTTGAAAGTAGCATGAGTAATCTGGGTGTATAACTCTCCTTATTAAATATTGAAAAGCACTAAGAGTTCAAATAAACTAAGCATGATTCATTTCCTCCTTAGATGCCATGAATTTGCCTCACTTCTTGCAGAGTGAGGCGGATATTTATCGATAATTTTTATATGGAATATTTTTCCCCCATGAAAGCAAGGGAAGAGCTTACTTATACTGTTTCATTAAAACTGTGTAATCTCCCAGGCATATTGCAAGAATTATTAGTCATTCTGCGTCAATGAGGGAAGGTACGGTATAATTGCAAAATTACATTACTATCATCAATAGTCAAAATAACATTTCATAGAATGTTCAAGTTAAAAGGACTATGCAAAACATCTAATTTTCCAAACTTCCCTGAAGATAATGATCATTTGGAGTACTTTTAGTAATAAAAAATATTTGGCTGCATCTGAGACCGACTAAATGAGAATCTCGGGGGAGAGATCTAGGAAGCTGTGGGTTTAATCAGAATGAGCTCCTGGGCTTAACCTATTTCAGGGAAGGAAGGGAACAATAAAGTCCCACTCCTTTGTTTTACAGATGAGGGTTCTGGGGCTCAGAGAGATCAAAGAACTTGATGGGTTTAGATGGTTCCTGTATTTCAATTCAGATAGGAATTGAACCCACCTCTCCTGACCCCAGTCCCAAGAACTTTTCAGGACATCAGGCATTAGAGTTAAAATAAAACTGAAAGCTGTGATTCTCTTCTGTCTATTAAACTTTTTATAAATTAGAAAACAGCAGCAGGCCCTTACTGGTTTGGCTCAGTGGATAGTTGGCCAGCAGACTGAAAGGTCCCAGGTTCAATTCCAGTAAAGGGCATGTACCTTGGTTGTGGGCACATCCCCAGTAGGGGGTGTGCAAGAGGCAGCTGGTTGACATTTCTCTCTCATTGATGTTTCTAACTCTCTATCTCTTTCCCTTTCCTCTGTAAAAAAAAAAATCAATAAAAATATTTTTTTAAAAAGAAAAGAAAAGAAATCAGCAGCAATAAATAGGAAACTTTTCAGGGGGTAGGTTTCATATAATTTTGAAAATAATCTCTTAGTTTCAAAAAATAAATAAAAGTAATTACCGTATTTTTCGGACCATAAGACACACTTTTTCCCCCCCAGAAGTGGGGGAAAAAAGTCCCTGCATCTTATGGTCCAAATATAGCCTACACATATACTTTAAAAAAAAAGTTTTTTTACTTGCCCGGCTCTGTGTGGTCTCTGTGTGCTTGCCCGGCTCTAAAATGGTTCTAAATGCTGCTGTTTACTTTACAGGGTTGATTACATGTTTATGACTGTGATGTTGGGTTTTAATGCACATAAAATATTTTAGGACACTATTTGTTTCAGAATCTTTTTTTCTTCATTTCCCTTCTCTAAAAACTGGTGCGTCTTATGATCCGGTGCGTCTTATGGTCCGAAAAATACGGTATGTGTATGTGCACACACACACACACACACACACACACACACACACTCTTCTCATTTCTACTTTATCGTATACCCAGAAGAGACTATGTTTAGTGATTAAATTGTATCTTATTTATGCTCCTTTAAATATTCCATGTGCATTAATTTTCACTCTTTCGGATTCTAACTCTGAGTCAACCTTTCTAGTGTATATCCATTTGCTTTGAATAGCCAAACTGCTACTTTATGTTCTGTTCTACTTTGAAGGAACAGGGCTATCCTTCAACAAGTAACTCATTTAAAAATTTTTTTTTCAGCAAAACAAATGGTGATACTATTTTCCCTTCTACTAGAAAAAAACATGGTTGGAAAACTTAACAAATGTTTATTAAAATGTTAATATAATTTTCTTTGTTCCCACAGACTGTCCAAAACCACCAAACATTCCCATGATCATGTTGGGGGTTTCACTGGCTATTCTTCTCATTGGGGTTGTCTTACTGTGCATTTGGAAGCTGCTTGTGTCATTTCATGATCGCAAAGAAGTTGCCAAGTTTGAAGCAGAAAGGTCAAAGGCTAAGTGGCAAACGGTATGTGAACATGTAGGGGCTACTCCTTGCCTAAGGGAGAAAGTGTCTAGTAGGAGAAATGGGAAGTCAGCTCTCTTCTGCTCTAAAACAAAGTTAGCACGTCATGTTCTTTCTTTGCTCCTCTCACCATGTCCTCAACACCTTTGACTTCTGTTCTGCCTTGGAGACAAAGGAACCTCTGTCCACTAATTGGGCCCCAGGCGGAACTCATCCTCATCGCATGCATTTGTCTCTGGGAACAGTGGGGGATTTCCCCACTCTGGAGTCTCCTTATTTATTAGTAGCTACTTTAGGACACCAAGGGCATATATTTTATTTCTCACCACAAGGAGGACCCATCAGGCCCCATTTGATAAAGCATAGGTGTTGTGGGCACACATTTCCACAAACATTTATGTTATAATTAATGGAATAAGATTCATGAGTACTAGACAGTTCATGCCCATTACCATGGAAATACACATTACTCAAAATAGGTCACGAAGAAAAGTTGAGAAGAGTTTTTAAATACCATCCAGTTTCTCTGAATACCATACATTTCAAACAGCTACCTGAAAAAAAATCCCAAAAGTATCAACCTTTAAATATACATACTCAATAGATATAATTTATGTGTCTCCTCTTTACAGAGAGCAAACACAAACCAGGACTCCAATTTTGTGTGTTTCTTTTCCACAGGAGAGATAGTTACATTTCTAGAGGCCCATAGAAACAATTTCATGGTTTTAATTTCATCTCTCTATCCCTAATGGTGCATCCAGCTATCTAATAGCAATTATCTTACATTGCTGATTCTAAAAACAGTAATATCACAGGAGAAAACACAAGCCAGCACAATGCTCCTGAGGGCTCATCTGCCCAGATAAATTGCTGTTACAAACACTTTTTTCTCTAAGTTTTTAGTGGTATCTTCAATTCCTAGAGCAAATGGAATCTTCTGTTTCAGATAAATTTATCTTGATAAGGGATGTTCATATATTATGTAGTTATTTTTAAATAATCATATTATATGGTGAAGGACAAAGGACCATAGAACATTTTATATACTTGATCTTCCCATTAAAAATACCTTCATACATAACAACCAAATGAAATGTATGGATCTTATTTTGATCCTGATTTGAATAGTCCAAAGAAATACATTTTTTTTTTTTACAAATGGAAAAAGGTTAATGTAGACTGGTATTAAATTGATAGCAACATATTGTGATTAATTTAATTAGGTTTGATAATGGCATGATGACTTTGCTAAAAAAAAAAAAATAATAATAAATAATAATAATCCAGATTTTGGGGTGAACGAAAATGAAGCCTGGTTTATCCTGAAATCATTCAGCCAAAAGAGAGAGAGATAGAGTGAGTGATAGTTGAAGTAAATGTGGCAAAATCTTGATAATTGTTGAAGCTGGGCAATAGGTCTACAGAGGTTCATTAGACAGCTTTTATCTTCTTTTGTATATGTATGGATTTTTTCATAATTAAAAAAAAAAACCTTTAGGAAAGTAAATTGTGGTTTTTGCATTGAGTATATAGTCTATCCATCCATAACAAAGTCAAATGTAACCTACACGTTAGTTTGGTGACTTAGAACTTGAGGCCACAGTGTTGGGACAGTAACATAACCGGATACCCTGGCCATCACTATTTTAACTCCTACAAACTATCAAGCAAATGCCTGGCAATGGTTAGTTAGAAGGGCAACTAGGCAAAAGAATGTCATTAAGTTGGCATAAAAAACAACAACAACCCAACAGCAGCAGTTAGTTGAATAAGCACCAGTGCCATGAAATTATCTTCATATTCCCAATTTAAATGTACGGAAACTGAGATTTCTCCAAGTGTTGATCCCAACTGCAGCCTCTTCTTCCAAGCACAGCCTTGACACTCTGGGAAATAAAAAGCAGGTGTTCCACAAATAAGCACTTGGGCAATTATGTGATGTCTATCTACCAAGCAGCACATTTTAATGTTCTCATACAAAAGCATGATTACTGACAAGTGATTAATATCTTTAAAATAACATTTTAATTAATAGTTAATTTCCCCAAAACATGAATTGTTTTCTCTTAGGATGTAGAACATGACTGAAATTCAAAAGCTAAAATTTTGCAATTTCTACATCTAATATGGAACAAAAAATATGCATTATACAGATTAAAACATGAATGAAAAATGTTATTCCCTTGTCAAACTGAGTTTCTTTGAATAACAAATGTTTGATGTTCTTGACTAGATAATGACTGGATAATAATTATTCACTTGTATGCAAAAGAGGTTTAACTCAAGTTATTCAACTCAAATTTCACTAATATATCCTATTGGAAAAAAAATGTTGCTCAATGCATCCATTTTGTGATCTTCAATTTTATTCTGTTTTTATTAAAAATATATTTCTTCTTGAAAAATTGAATTTCACTGGTCTTCGAAACCCAGGGGACCTCCACATACTACAGAGTAGTTGCGTCTCCTGACTCCAAAGGTGACAGAGCTGAGGATGAAAAAGAGTTTCATTCTTGCTTCCTGGAACATGTCATCCTAGCCATAAAAAAAGGCTACCTTTTACTATTGTACTTTTAAAAATAACGCCCACATCAACATTTTTTATGAAAACAGAAAGGGGAGATATTTAAATTCATCTTTGATTAAACATTTTTCCCCCCTAGGATGACAAGCCATTAACTAGCGGCACAGAATGTTCAGTCTGACATTTCTAGCAGTCATGGATTGATTTTGTACTGTACTAAACAAATCAGGTCTGCGATTGGCAGTTAGGCAATCATTAAGAAAGCTGTGGGTCATGACAAAGAGCTTTCTTATTACCACTTTTCCAAGCTCTAAAAATGTGCCATTACATTTGCAGAATCCACAGCCTAAATTAGTACTCCCAGATGCCTGGGGGGATTAGCCTAGTCACCCCAGATGGTTGGAGGAAACATACCTTGTCAGGGAAGGAGTGCAGACTCACCTGAAATGGAACCAGACACAAGCCTGTGTCTCCACTGAAAATCTTTTGTGGGAAGTTGCCACCTGCGGGGCACTAGAAGAGGCAAGGTCAGACATTGTCACACTTCCTGCTGCCAACAAAACTCAGGTTGAGCTCATTCTGCTGAGCTGTGAGCATCAGTTAAGAGCAGGAAACACTCTCCCCTCCCCAATATACATTTGCTCTCTCTTTTAAACTTCCACCTTACCCTCCTACTACAATGGGGTCTGCTTTATCCACCATCACCTATTAGCATGCCAAGGCCCTACAACTAGCTTTGCAAGAGACTTCCAAAATATTGTAGGCCTGAATAAATGAAATTGCTTAAAAAATATAGAATGGAAACCACACAATCAAAATTACACATTTAACTAAGTGTCTACAAAATAACATTGAGTAATCAATCAGTCAATCGCAACTCATCATCTCCTTTGCAGTGCATATAAGTGGCATTTAGAGTGAGATGTGGTGAATTTCAATTTGTCTGACATGGTATGGGATGGGGTCCCCGAGAGAGTTCCTTGCTCTTCGCTGATCCAATCTGGCCCTGCTCACAGCCATTTACTCTGAATTTCAGAGTACCTTGCCTCCTCCCTAAGCCACCCTCTTCCTTCAGGCCATTATCCTCACCCTGCCCTTCTTATTTTTTCTCTTTTCCTCTTCAATTCATTTCTTATTCTTCTGTAACCAACATAAACTGAATAGCATATAGTCTCTTACACTTAATAGAATCCCATGGTTTTTGTTTGCAAATAATACTCTACCTGCATCTAAGAACACATTAGTATGCTCATCACCCTCCAAATTTCAAGCTCTTCTGGAAGCAGAATGAAGTAAGAACTGGAGGGCCCTCAGATTTCTCCAGGCTGACCGCAGGAGCAGAGACAATTTGCTGACTTAGCCTTCACTCACATTCCCCACCAAGGAGCCTCTTTTCTGTCTGCCCTCATGACTGGGCTAGCATCCCACTCCGAAGGCCTGAGCACAGGTGACATGTTCCTCAGGCTGGGCTCAGTCCACTGACTCTGGGCAACAGAGAAACGGGTGCAAGTGTTATTCCTCCTCAAAATGAAGACACTGTGGTGAATCCAAGGGCAACAGGTGGGAGAGACCAGGGAGCATTTTTCATTTTATTGAGGCCTTCTAAGAGCTGAGAGAAGTGTACTTAGAAAGCCAATGTAATCATGTTTTTTTTCAGATCTATGCCTAGAAATTGCTACCATTTCTACAGTACATGAAATAAGGAGACCAACGTATAAGATTTAGCAATTTGGAGGCGCTGAGATGATATGTGGACTCCATGTACACTGAGAAATAGGCTTGGGAATGTTAAGAGTACCAAAACCCTGGGGGGAAACATCTTTATTACACTCTCCAGGACAAAAAAGGAAAGCAATTTCCAAATAGAAAGAAGAGCTCTAAGTTAGAGCAAATAAGAAGAGGCAGCATTTACTGGGAACTGTGAGCCAGGCACTGTGCTAAAGTATAGTACCTCGCAGATAAGGGAGGCATTTTGGCAATCTCTCTCATAGATAAGGACACCAAGGCATGGAGTTGCTTAAGTAAAGTCACACAGTGCTGCTGGATTTGAACCCAGGCTGTCTGACACCTGAGCCTCTGTGGTCAATCTTGGAATGAAGGAGAAAAGAGACTGACTTACCCAGACATCTTGTGCCTGCCAGGAGTGGTTAGACCAAAGAAGAGAAATAGAAGGAACAAGTTTGGCATTTCTTTAAACACCTAGAGAGCCTTGGTCCTTCTGGTCCTGGTGACAGCCCCTGGACACATATCGACACCCAAACAGCACAGCTGAGTGACCCAGGCATCAGTACCCCCCTCTCACTGCCCCAAGGGCATACACATCTTGCCTAACCTGCCTTGGGACCTGTACTCCTTCACAAGTGCAGTGTCGCAAACACCTGACTTGTGACCCTGATTCAAACACTTGTTAACAAAAGCCACCTGGTTCTTTCTCCATCCAGAGCAGGCAGACACTGTCCTGGGAATCTTCCCCTGCCTCTCCCAAGCAGCTAGCTGCTTCTCTTTCTGAAATTTGAACTCATTTTAGCAAATTATTTGTGCCTTTGTTTGATGCCTCTCACCAGAAACACATTTCCTTTTTTTTTTTTTTTTTAATATATCTATTTTTATTTATTTCAGAGAGGAAGGAATAGGGAGAGAGAGAGAGAGAAACATCAATGATGACAGAGAATAATTGATTGGCTGCCTCCTGCATGCCCCACACCAGGAATCAAGCCCACAACCAGGGCATATGGCCTGACTAGGAATCAAACCTTGACCTCCTGGTTCATGGGTTGATACTCAACCATTGAGCCACACCAGCCTATTCAGAAACACATTTCTTCTTCTTTTTTTTTATTTTAAATATATTTTTATTGATTTCAGAGAGGAAGGGAGAGAGAGAGAGAGATAGAAAATTCAGTGATGACAGAGAATGACCAATTGGCTGCCTCCTGCACACCCCACACTGGGGACCAAGCCTGCAACCAGGGCTTGTGTCCTGACCAAGAATCAAACCAGTGATCTCCTGGTTCCTGGGTCGGTGCTCAACCACTGAGCCACACATGGCTGGGCACATTTCTTAAAGGCGGGTACTACTGTGTCATCATCTCTGTATGCTCACTTTTTTCATTTTTTACTTTACATTTTACTTTGAGTCATCTATTGGTTCATTCTATTCATTCAATAAACAACCGAGTGCTTACTGTGAACTGGGCACTGTTTTCAGTACAGTTAAAATCTTGTTTTCAATCAATAAAGTAGTGCATTTCCAAAAAGGATAAGATTTTTAGAATACACACATGGGGCTAGTTCTGCATATTAAAAAATAAAATGAGGATGTATTAACTTTAAAGTATTAAAAGTATAACATCAAAATTATTCAAATGGCTTGCAAGATTGAGACTGACTCTCTTTTTCCAATTGGTAATGTACAATGAAATTATTTAGATATATTAAGACAGTGTAATAACAAAATGTACATACTTTCATTTGAACATCCTCTTTATTTTTTAGGGAACCAATCCACTGTACAGAGGCTCCACCAGCACCTTTAAAAATGTGACCTACAAACACAGGGACAAACAGAAGGTGGACCTTTCCACGGACGGATAGAACCACTTCACGCACAAAAAAATGTCTGTTTCACTGATATGAAATGTTAACGCACTGCTTAGTGTTCCTTTCTTTGTTGCTTCAAAATGAGCTTGGTTTAAGGTAATGATAGGTCATTTGGAGATCAGTCTTTCTCTGTGTGAAGATTAGAGACTGTGTTGGCAGGTTCAAAATAATCGAGAAGAGAAATGCCTTAGCAAAGGGGGGACTTTGGGGATCATTTGAGGAATGCTCACTCTGTTGCATTAATGCCTCCGAAAATCATCAGAATGATTCATGGGAGCTTGATCTGCATTTGAAAAATGTTTGAAATTAGAATCTCATTTGTATCTAGAATATAGCTACCTGAGGTGAGGTCTTTGTCTCAGCCAAGTCACAAGGCCCATATGTTCCCCTTACATATGCACATTCTCCAACTTATTCCAAACTTTTAGTAAATGTGCCTTTCCTAAAGAAGAATTTATTTTTATTTTTATTTTTATTTTTTTTGTCTAAGAGATTCTGGTTTTACTTCAGCTGAAAAAATGCAATTTTCTAAAAAAAAATCCCAAATGTAAGAATGAAAATTAAGTGTTAATTACTGTGAATTTGTCTGAATCTAAAAGTCAGATACATAAATGAGTGTTTTATTTGTTTTACAGATGAAGAAGTAATTTATAATTTTAGGAAGTCGCCAGTAAAAAAAAAACAAACAACACACACACACACACACACACACACAAATAATAATAATAATAATAATAATAATAATAACAAGCCTATCATTTAGATTATTTTCAGTTACTCACCCCAAAATAAACTTCTATACTCAGATCCCCTCCTGCTTCTGAGTCTTCAAACTATTGCTTCTCCCTAATTTCTCAATCCATTTTGCTCAGTTTCACAGTCTTCTAACCCCTGTAATTGCCATATGAAAGTTTTAATTTCTTTTTAAAGAATCACTTCAAATGGCTAGTTTATTCAACAAGAGCTCCCATATTACAAAAGGAACAACATTTTAAGTAGTTTTAAGTCAAGCACATCGAGAGTACAAAAGTCCCTTGTGCATAATGGGTTTCCTTACCTATATTCTTTTCCCACTTGCATAACCAAGCTTGACATTTCAGCTGCACATGGTAAATATGCATGACATATTTACTTTAAAAAGTAAGATTTTGCTTGCAAAATACATGGGGGTGATTAGGGGTCCTTAAATTGACTAAAGAGTTGGACACTGCAGAATAACATTTCTTACAGTAAATACAACTTTACAAAGCATGCTCTTCTCTGATCTTCGTAAGGAAACTAGAGTTCAGAGAGTAAGTAGAACTGGTCCAAGATTCAGACCTTCTAGCTCCAAACCATGTCTTCTTTCCTCAGCATGAGGCTGACTCCTTAGTCAGTGAAATGATAGAAATGATCTTTTGAGTTAAGCAGCAACTCCCATTTGCTGGACCGAACATATGGCATTTAGACTACTGGGTTACAGGTGAAGTCTTATACTTTTGTGCCATGTTTAGTCTCTTTGAGTAAATGTCAATGTGAAGTCTTTTGCTACGTGAAGAGTTCATTCTGTAATGGAGGCTTCAAGCTGACCCACTGAATTGGAGCAGATTACTCTGTGGTAAGTCTCATCAGTCTTACCGGTAGATCTGTACACACTGATTACTTGGAGACTTTTTACTTCTGGTTTCTTAATAACTCAGGTAAATCTCACACTTGTGAAGTACACAGCTACAGTAAACAATTACTAAGCAATCACCTTGGAAACCTGAAGGGCGAATGTGCCCTCTACTTCCCCACTGAAGCCCAAGGTCTGGGGAAATCTAGAGCAATAAGGAAGTTGCAATTCTGATGGCACAACCGTAGTATTCACCTCGACATGTGACATTTCTGTATTATTACTGGAATGGGATTTTAGAAAATATAAGTTTTCCTCCTGTGTGTATATATAGAGAAGAATTTGCTATTTGTCTAAATACTGTTTTGACCCAGGGCTGGACCTTGAAAAGGCCAAAACATTAACAGTAGTACTTCTGTTCACTGAAGAGTTATGTTACATGAAGATAAAATGGGTTTTGTAAGTTGTTTTATTGTATTTTGTGTTGACATAAATAAACATGGTAATTTAAACAATGAGCCGTAGATGGTCGATAATGCCTTTTATTTACTTGGTACAAAATCCCCTTCTTGGATTTCTGGATCCCTGTGTGACCTGCTCTGGCAGCCTTGGGACCGAGGAGAAGAGCAGAAAGAGGCAGCCACGGGATGCAAAAGACAGCAGAGAACAGGCTGTAATTTGCTGCCTGGTTATAACGCTACCATTATGAGGCCTTTTAAAACGGGCCTGGACATTACCGCCTATTTTGTGAAAGCAGGGTTAATGTTATGGGTTGAATTGTGGTCCCCACCCTAAAGCTCGTATATTACTGAGGTCCTAACCCCCAGTACCTCAGAATGTGACTGCGTTTGGACATACGGTATTTAAAGAGGTAATTAAGTTAAAATGAGATCATCAGGTTGGGCCCTGATCCGTTGTGATTGGTACACTCATAAGAAAAAGAGATCAGGACACGGAAGTGCACAGAGGGAAGGCCTCACAGAGACACCAGGGGAAGGCAGTCATCTACAAGCCAACGAAAGAGGCCTCCGCAGAAGTCAGTGCCTTGATCTGGGACTTCCAGCCTCCAGAACTGTGAGCAGCTGCATTTCTGTGGTTTGAGCCGCCCACCCTCGGGTGCTTTGCCTGGCAGCACTAGCGTACTAATGAGGTCAGGTAGTGCCACTTTTCTGGGCCTCTATTTGGCAGATTCCATGGTGCCATGCTCATTTTCCTAATCAAAAAAAACAAAAACAAAAAAACAACAACAATAACAAACAGAGAGGCCAAACACTAATGAGGAAGTCAGCCTAGAAAAAGTCACGTCTTAGAAAGGCCCATTCCTTACAAAAGGAAAGAGAAAGTCTGGACAAGGGTAATTTTGTGCTGAAACACACTAGGCTGGAGGTCTGGAAATCCACAAACTGCCCCTATTTTGAGGAACACGAAGAAAGCCACTTTTCTCCTTTATTTTTCCATCTGTAAGATGGTGTCAATGCCTGTCTTTTTTAGGAACTCTGACAATACCTGACACCCAGCAAAGGCTCAATAAAGCCATTCACTCAGTAATTTTAAGAATCTAGTATATGCCAGACTCTGTTCTTAGGCTTATGCACCTAAGCAATGAGCAAAATAAGAGGTTTCCATACTCCCAAATGGAAGAGAAGATAATAACAAGTACATGCATATTACCAGAGTACTGGGTTCAGTTTATCCACATCCCAGATCCAATTGGCCCTGCCTGTCTCCCAGACTAAGCTGGGAGTCACCCCAGCACTAACTCACCCTTGGTAGGAAAGCCTCTGCTTCCATCTCACTCCCCTGGGGTTGGGGGGGGCCACATCAAGTCCTGAGCCCAAGTCCAGAGTGGCAGCTGATCTGGGTTCTAATGAAACATAAATTTGAAAAGAAGAATGCCAGGGTAAGCTAACTTGAACAGAAAAGCACTGAGTCCATTAGGAAAGGGGAAATAAAAGAGCTTACCCTTCTGGGCTTCGGGAGAGCCAGGAAAGATTGCAAAACATGGGAAGGAAAAAGAAACAGTCTTTGGGGTAGCAATTATGAATGAGTGTTATTGAAAATGAGATAGATGGTGTGGCTGCTCATGCAAATGTCCTCATCCTTTTGGGCTTGCAGCGTGAGGGCTTCGAGATAAAAGTGAGGCCCAGCCAGTGTTGCTCAGTGGTTGAGTGTTGACTCACCAACCAAGAGATCATTGTTCGATTCCGGTCAAGGCACATGCCAGGTTGCAGGCTCCATCTCCCCATAGGGGATATGCAGGAGTCAGCCAGTCGATGATGTTTCTCTCTCATCCATGTTTTTATTTATCCCTCTCCCTTCCTCTCTCTCTAAAAATAAATAAAAACATATTGGAGGTGAGAAGTTCAAGTTCCAGGAGGTTTCATCTGAGACTTTATGTGGTATATTTAATTTGGTCCTGATTCCCCTTTAAGATTCCTCAACATAAGAAACAATGGTGCCCTGAAATACTCCCATGAAACCCTCCAAATGGCAGACCCTAAATCTTCCCAAACCAACCCAGAGTCCTCCAATTTGCTCTCTCCTTTATCTCTCCATACACATCCTTCTAATACTTCTTGAAGGGACACAATACTAGAGAAGCAATCTCACCAATAATATTTTTCACTACAGGTGAACACTGACCTCTCAAAAGAGCAATTTTTTTTTTAATTTTAAAAAAATATATTTTATTGATTTTTTTTACAGAGAGGAAGGGAGAGAGATAGAGAGCTAGAAATGTCGATGAGAGAGAAATATCGACCAGCTGCCTCTTGCACACCCCCTACCGGGGATGTGCCCACAGTCAATGTACATGCCCTTGACCGGAATCGAACCTGGGACCTTTCAGTGCTCAGACCAATGCTCTACCACTGAGCCAAACCGGCTTCGACTCAAAAGAGCAAATTTTTTAAAATGTTCAAGATTCATAGCACTTTTGTAGCATCCTCATCTTATGGGAATCTAAATTGGGGATGGGGTGGGGGGAATTCCTTTTAGAGAGAATGTGAAACAGAAACTGAATGAAATGTGATAGAAATATCTCTTCTGTTAAATTTCATTATACTGCAACTTAAGTCAACACAACTAAAAAGTTAAAAATCAAAAACAAAATCAAAAAACTGAAGTAGCTTTTTTAAGAAGTTGGGATATTGGATTTTGGACTTTGGACTAGGATGTTTTAGAACTAGATGCCTAATATTCTGGATGAGGCTTTTGCAACCAGTAGGTTTTGCACACCATTAGGGCCAAGACATTCATTCTTTGGATGGTGAAACATTCAGTCTTTGGATTGTGAAATGCTGTTTCTCTGTGCTTTGGAAACATCTAAAACGTGAATCAAAGGTTAGAAAACTTGACCCACTGTTCTCTCCCACTTGGCTGCACAACCAACAAAGAGAGAGGAGCATGAGCACCCATAAGTTTTTCACCTCCTAAGCTTGTCCTGGAGCCAGGTCCTAAGATAAATCAGACCTGGAAGGCATACAATCGGCCTGCACACGTTATTGGGGATGATTAACAACTTTAAGACTTTACGAGTGGTGCTAGTTCAGTTTGGAATTCCAATCTGACCTTTGTAATTTCTAGGTCTTGTTTTATTAGGAAACTTACTGTTCAAATAGTATTTGCTCTTTCAGCCAGAAATGTGTTTACTTTCATGTTCCTTACATAGCTGTTGCATAGCTGTTGCAGGTCAACAGCTAAAGATAGTGCATCATGAAACTCCATTGTTTATCAATATCTGACTCGGTAAAAAGTCACTATGTTCATTTTTTTTCATCCAATCGGCTTTGCTATACTTAATATAGATATGTGTGAACACATACAAGCACACACACACACACACACACACACACACACACACACATATTTCTTACTAGAGGCTCAGTGCACAACTTTCATGTACCTGGGGTGGGGGTAGGAGGTATCCTACACCATTTCGCAGTCCGGGAGCCCCAGGGGATGTCCAGCTGCTGCTGAGGCGGGAGAGGCTCCTGCCACCTCCACTGCACTCACCAGCTGTCAGCCCAGCTTGTAGCTGAGCAGCACTCGGTCAGTCTGCCATTTAGTCGATTTTCA